GGGGGATGGCCAGGCCATATACCATCTCTCGGAGGAATATAAGATCCTTGCTTCTTTGAAGCATCCGAATGTCATCGTCGCATACTCCCTCATCACCGCACCAGAAGTTGGCCTTCTCATGCAGCTTGGAACCGGCGACCTTCTTGGCTGGTTGCAGGCTCACAAGCTGGGAGTAGGAGATGACGACGACAGAGAATATCTGAAGGGGAGGCAACTTCTGAGCACCCAGATGTTATCGGCCATGCATTATTTGTGCAGCAAGCGCATTCTCCACGGAGACCTGAAGCCAAGCAACATCGTGATGTTCCCAGGCTTGCATGCCAAGTTAGTGGACTTCGGATGTTCGATATCCGTTCCGGCTTCTGGGGGTGCTCTAATCCCTGGAGATGGTGTTTACACTGCTGAATACCGCGCTGGCGAGCTTCTTTCGGCTGACAAGGCTAAGGCTGGACAGTTTGCAAGATTTCCAAATTAGGCTTGAAGCATACATAAACAAGGATCCAGCGTGGTACCCTTATTCCCTATATCTTATTATACAACATTAATCCCTTGAGTAAGCTCATGAGGAAGAAGATTTAAAATCCCTTTTGTGGTCCAGGTCAAGGTCAATCTGACCGCAGATGCACATGCATTTGGGTGCTTGCTCTTCGATCTGTGGGGAACGAACGGTGTGATTGCGCTGTTCAGGGACAACGAGACCTTGCGTGGCAAATCTCTGAAAGCAGTTTCCGCGGTGTTGAATGCTACTGCCAAAGAGCGCTTGTCTAGAAGGCTGCAGTATGACCCCGAATTGTGTAGCATGATAGTCATGTGTGTGGGGCCCAGTGAAAGTCGACCGTCCTGGGTGGAGCTTTTGAATCACTTTGCAACTTCGTGATTCAATTTTTGTGCTCGATCCCTTGATAGTGAGGGATACTTTGTTCTTGGACTCCAGCTGTGACGCCCCCCTACTTTTGTCTCACAGCAGCTGGTGTCCTTCCACGAGGGGCGTGAGCAGAAGTTCCTTGCGAGAGAACTTCCAATTGCAAAGAAAACAAAGGCTTCGCCTGAAGCTTCACTAAGAGCAAAGGGGAAGTAAACCAGGACACTTGGTAGTTCGTTCGTTGATTCAGGCCAGCGTCCAACGACGCGGGTTCTCGAGGATGAGGGCTTCGAGGCAAGGGACAACGATACAGCTTCGCAGACTGTGACATTTCGAATTTCATGGTGCGGGTATGACCAAGTACTGCCGAGGTGTTGGAGGGGTGCCCGGGAGGTGCCCGGGAGGTGCCGGGGGACCTCTCAGGGACGTGTGCATTGATTATAGACTTGTTGTTGCCAAAGAAAGCCTATTTATCATACGTTTGCTTTCAGCATTCTGGTGTCAACCATTGAAGTGGTCAGATATAAGAATCGAGTTCGAAGGGCCTCGAAGGGTGCAATTGCAGAAACTTTCAATATCACACTCCGTGCTGGTAGAGCGCGATCCACAGAGGCTCTATCGGGCTGGAAGAGACAGGACGAACCTTTTTTGAGGCACTGCATTGTTATGAGTCCGAGGGTCTTGCTGACTCAGTGTACAGACCATAAGGGCTGTCAATGTAGCATTCTTGCAGCTTCTCATCTCGTGTCTATATAGTCCGTTGCGCACGTGTCGTGGCAATTTGCTGCTCAGCATCGCGGCCTAGATCATCCCGGCAGCCATCGTCTAGGAAACTTCAGACCTCAGTCACAAGACAGGAAGAGAGATCGACCTCTGCTTTCTCGGCCTGGTTCTCGGCTTTCTGCTGTTGCCGAATCTAAAGCACCAGTCCACGTAGCTTTGAGGTGCCAGGCATGTACCGTCTCTAGTCATTGTGGATCCGCGACACATGCTTTCACATTGATCCATTATTCTGATGCAAAGCGCTCACTCAAGTCATTGACACCTCTGTCTCCTCGGGATCCTCATCCTCCCTTCTCGCACGATGTCTACCTTCTTTGCTGCTGCCCCAGCCGGCAAAAGCTTTTTGGGCGAGCGTGTGACGCTGTACCCCGACATGGCTATGGCTGTGGCGTGCAGCAAGAAGACCATGGCCCGCAAGCAGCTTGGTGATCAAAGCAGTTCATCATTTTCACGCATTCTAGCATTTCGGGGTGTGGAGTGGCAAAGTGTGCCTGAAAGACTGCAGGCTCGGCTACAAGCTGTCTGTGGCAGGCGAGCCGCTGAAGAGCGAAAAGACCCGGAAGCTCAACCAGGGTTCAGCTGCACGCCTTCTGAACCCAATGGACAGCTATGCTGTGCTCGAGGTAGACTTTGTCGATGGTGTTCAGTCAGCCTACGAAAAAGACATCATCAGCCGAGCCACCACACCCGACAGCTGGGTGTTTCAGGTGCCCACTTCCCATAGGACTGACTTGGGATTGTACACCATGGAGGTGACCCTGGAGACGAAAGTGGAAATGCTATTGAACTGCGGCGACTGGACAGACCAGTGGAAGCTGCACATGCATCAGAACCAGGATGATGCTAACATGTTCTTTCAGGTGGCCACTGAGAATGTGGTTGCCAAGATCAAGAGCCCGTCCAAGGAGGACGCCTTTGTCCTCATGTCGGATCCCGCAATCTTGGCCATGGCAGGGTTTGCACTGTCCTATGGCAAGAAGAGAGAGCTTCTTGGAAGAACTTAGAATGCCCCTGATCCTGTAGCTTGGCTTCTCACCCTGGGTGTCGCCCAGGTTTGTGCTGTCCGTGTTCGGCCGCAAATCCTTCCCTGACTTCCTGGATCGTGTGAAAGCCAACCAAAGCCCACTTTGTGCTGATCAGCTGCACCGAGGTTAGGGGTCTAGATCGGGGCTTAGAGGCTTTGAAAGGGTTGAGGGCTTTGGATTTTGCTTCGAAGTTTAAAGGAACAAGCCAAAAAAGAGCAGTCATGTACATGATTAAGGCATTCTGGCTTGGCATGGGCAATGTCGAGCAGAAGGAGTGGGAGATGCGTGGCACGTGCACAGCCACCGTTTGCTGTGTGGTACGCGACAGAATGTCTGTGCTGATGCAAGCCCTCAACTCGGATATCGAATTTTGGAAGAAATCCCAAGACAATATCCATTCCAGGCTGGCTGATGCACGGGAGATCGTGCGCGAGCTGGAGGAGGAGGAGGAGGAGGAGCGCGTCCTCGAGATGTTGCGCGATGCAGAGCTCCGAGCTTCGAAGAAGCGCAGCTTTGAAAACATGACGGCGTCGCCTGCTGGCCCGGCATCGTCCGAGTCACATCCGGCTATGGCTACGGTTGACCTTGCCATCCTAACTGAGCCTTCGGATACCGCGGAGTGAGTCCTTAGTGAGGCCTTTGTGCAGGAGGTCTGATAGTGAGATTTTGGAGTAAGGAGACGAAACTTCATTCCCCTGCATCGCCTGCTAGTTCTCCGTTTTCGACATGCAGCTTTTGATTGCATCTTGCAAAATGTCTTGCACAACCTTCTGCGTTGACCTGACAGCCACCCATATGGCATGCTTGATTGGTTTGTCATATGCCAAGCACACGCTTCATTGACAGGGTTCAAGCCTTGGCCAGCTGTTCGCTGCTGTGTGTGCTGCTGCATCTTCATAAGGCAGCTGCTCCAAGAACAGGTTTGCAGTGTGACTTCTAAGACACATTCGAACCCTGATCTCATGTACAGTGCGGCCCCGCTGTCACTGCTAGCTCTGTGCTGGCTGTGTGAAGCCACGTCGGCCCCGTCGACGCTTGTGCCTCGACCTTTGACTTTGAGTGGGGCATTGACTAGCTGGAAGATTGGTGACTATTCACATGCATACTGGGGTTGAGCCTTGTGAGAGTTCTGTCTGTGTGTGTGTGTAGGGTGCTTGATCACAGCTCAGTCATGCTTCACGAAATTTTTACAGGTACTGCCCTGCGAGTTTCGAGCACCTATGCCATCCGCGTCAGCAGCTCTAGAAGAAGGAGGCAGGCATGATTCAGACATCCACTTACTGCTGTCCCCTAGTCGTTTCGCTTGAGCAGCATGCATTTGAGGTTTCGATTTGGAAGAGACGCCCGACCTCGGTGGCTTGCCATACAATGGCAGCACTATTTGTTTTCCTATCATCTACGGGGTTACATGATGTGTCTCTCTGCTGATAAAGCGTTCCAGTGGAACTCCTCATCTCTCAAGTGGCCCTGAGAGGCACTATCTAGTTGGCAGGTCGGTGGCCCATTAACAAGCAATTGTTCCAATGAAACTGCTTATCTAGTGAGCATGAGGACACCTCACCCGCCAGATAGTGCGTTCGAGTGGAACTGTCTATCTGTGGGGTGAAATGGGACCCAGCTCTGCAGATCGTGTTTTTTCAGCTCAGAAGGCAGGCAATCCCGAAAGAACACTGCGTCTGTCAGGTGAAATCCTTTGCAGATGAGGCTAGTTCATTGGATAGAGGAGGCTGCCCCAAGAGAACCCTGCATCTGTGAGGTGAAATACGGCCTGTGGTGTGGATCTGTGTGGGTCGTTGGCCAGAATTACAATTGGATGGTAGGTCATTCGACGGAAACTTTCCATCTGCAGAGTGAAATATATCCTGCCCCATAGGTCTTGGAAATGCTTCTACATCATATATCACCATGCGTGTGTAAACGGGAGATGCAGATGTCTTGAACCTCCCCAGGTGGCGGTTTCGACCTGGTGAAGGAGCCCTCGCCGGAGTATGAGATTGATGGCGGTGCCGATTCAGATGGTGGTTTTGAGCTGGATGGTCCATCGTTAGATCCGCCCGAAGGTGTGGCTGAGGATGAATCTCAGGGTTTCGTGCTTGGAAATAGTGATTGCAATCGAGGACAAGGAGATGCTAATGCTTGGCAGCCAGGCATCAATGTGGTCCCCCATATCTCCCGCAAGACGTCTGTGCTGAGGACACAAGCGCAAGTGCTTATAGCGAACGTGTATCTGACCATGCGGCAGCTCCCGACTACCTTGTTGCAAGGCATCATTAGCAAGTTGCCCTCCATCTCAGAGACGGCTCAACCGTTGGCTGCAAAAGCAGCTGCGCATGAGTGCAAACACAATACGGAATTGTGCCCGCCGGTTATCCAAGAATGGGTGGCAGCCGTGTGATGTTGCAGAAGACAATAAGAGTGCTCCAGCCCCCGCCCAGATCAAGCCTCAGCGTGAGTCTCATGAGGTCCTCCTGAAACGCCTTGTTCGTGAATGTGTGCACAACATAGCGCATGGCAGGGCGGATGAGGATTACATTTTGGCGATTGCAAAGCTGCAAGCACACGGCATGTATGCAGGAGACAAATTTGCATCTTCTTCATTCCTGCAGGTTGTGGAGTTCGTTGGTGCAAAGCTGTTGCAGATTGCACAACTGGAGGAACTGGCTCAGGTTCTTCCAGGGGTCGGGGTACTGCCGCCCCTGGCACTTACTTTTGACACGGTGACCTCCGGATCAAACATGTTCAGTCGTGCGGAGACATGCCAAATTATCATGGTTGCCAGTATTTCTCCCATAGATGGACTGCTGAGAGATCATTTCATGTCGTCACCATCAGTGGGGGCCGAAGTATAGAGAGAGAGAGAGAGAGAGAGAGAGAGAGAGAGAGAGAGAGAGAGACAGAGACACACACACACACAGACACACAGACACAGGTAGCCATTCCTTCTGATGCCTGAAGACACTTGTTGAAAGTGCTTGTGGCCTGCTGAGAGTGTGAGGTTGGGATGTACCACGACGGAGACTCTCAAGCGAGGGGAGTGCTTGATGCACTTTCAGTGCACCCAGCAAACTTATCCATTCCGGCGTTGCTGGCACGAGGGCTGGTAATGGTGGGTGGAGACGGCGCCAACGCACAAGGGGGGCCATCGTGACTTGTTTGCATCAGCAGGAACAGCTGAATGGGCTACTTGTGTTTCACGGTGCCAAGCTGAGGAACCGACACAACTCCACAGCTTCTTGCAACAAATTGCACAGATTAGTTTATAAAGACTGCCATCGCGATGAGCATGTCGAATGGGAGCCTTTTCACAAGTCCGAGGCCGCCATGAGGTCTAGTATTGACAAGAGTGAGATGTGCAAGGAGATGCTGGCCATTGGCCGGGCCATGAGTCAGCATTTCGGGTACGGGTGCGGAAGGATATTGTACCGTTCTGTTATCTCTGAAATGCAGGAAGACTTCGGACATGCTGCGCAGGTCGGCGGCACAAGAAAGGGAGAAGCTTTGGCCAATGTGGCCGCCAACATTCTTTCCAACTATCGTGCCTATGCTGTTGGCCTGCATGCCAAGGTCAAGGAGAAACAGCGCGGCCACGGCAGCTCTTCTCAGAAGAGTCTTCTGACATTGGGTCGACGGTTGCTGTCCGTTGACTTGGTCATCTTCACATTAGCCATGTCCGACATAATGCGTGATCGGCAGAAACCATGGACGCTCATGACACAACGCTCTGGACAATTGCCATGGGTTCTACATCGTTATTTTCTCAAGCGGCAGGAGCGCTTGCAGGAGGATGTGAACTCGCTGCGAGAAGTTCGCAGGTTGGCCAGCCTGCTTACACTTTTGCAGCATTATGTGGACCCGGGCTCCTTGAAGCGTTTCATGTTTGCACAGCTGTTCACTTCAAGTGGCCGGCGTTGGTATGAAACCACACGTCATTTGTTCAGCGTTGTTCCTCGGAAAAAAAGTTGTTAGCAAGATTAGCGATTGGTTGGCAGAGGCTGGTTGTTTCTAGCTGGGTGTTTCTGCAGGTTTCCCGACAAGCAGCAAGCCGAGGTCGTGACAAGGAAATTCCAGCAGGTTGAGCTTCAGACCTACACTGATTTAGCTGCAAATACCCTTTGCGTGACTCCTCGGTGTTGGTGTTGGGCACGGAGTCAACGAGCACCCGGATTTTTCACGAAGATAAAAGTGCGTGGGCGCAAGGTGAAAGTTCCTCGGTGGGTGGCACACAGCGAAAAGCTTCCTAACGAAGCTTATGTTGACCTTGTAGATGTGCCCTTGAACTACAAGGTCATCCCGCGACCGACGGAATTTCCGCATGATGAGAACACAGGAGTTTCCTGGTATCGGCAGCATCTGCCGCAGTGCTCGACTTCACGCCTGGTTCCTTTTGTGCATTCTTATGCGCAGGCTGGCTTGGCGTCCGCAGGCCAATTCCTGCAGGACCTCCGATGTGCATATGATACGTACTGGGGCAGCACCGGCACGAGCCCGGGCATGCAGGAAGTTCACAGGGCCATGGCCTGCTGCTTTGATCTCGAAGCCATGGTGCATAATTTTCGACCCACCCAGCAGATGATCGATGCATTTCTCTCCTTTGCCAAGAGCTTGCGTGGAAAGCTGGCGCTCATTGCTTTTCCTTCGCCTGATATTTTTCCGTATGTCCAGCGACAGTGGCCGGCGAACAAGGAATTGACAAGACAATACAAGGTTTTTTGCCGTGTCATTCACACGAACCGGAAGCGTCCTGAATGGCAAGAGGTGGTTGGCCTCCTCGTGGAGCCGGTTCATGAAAATAGGATGCTTTCCCGTTGTGTGTCCAGAATGTTTCTGGCGTGTCACGTGCTGCTGCCTGTCAAGCAGCAAGCCTTGATCAGTCATATCGTGCAAGGATTCCTGTCAGGCGTATGTGGGAGCTTCCAAGTTAAAGTCTCTTCCTGCTTGAGGCTGGGTTCTATGGGTGGAACCAACAAGACTGGGAACAAAAGAGGCTTTGCAGCGCAATTCAGCGTGCTGAGAGCTGGTGGCGGAGCTGCTGTCGGACAGTTCGCTGTCTTGAAAGTGAAGCCACACTTTCGAAAAGTGGTTCGTGTGGTCAGTGAGCTCACCGAGCTGTTGCCAGAGGCAGTGGCTGCGAGTTTTGCCTTGGACCCACGGCTTCACCAGTACAGCTCTGATGCTTGTCAGAAGACCACGCATTGTTGGCACGCCACCACTATCTTCCTGTTTGGATGCAGCGTGCAGTCTGCATCTAGTTCGTGCGAGCGAGTGGGTTCAGCTCTGCATCACATATCTCCAGGGGAAAGCTCCATTCATGCAGGCTCATCATAGCATGCAAAGAAAATACTAGTCAGCCTGCCGCCTCCATTTGAGCATCTGAGTGAGCGGGTCTTGAAACTTGTGTTGCAGGTCGTGTTGCAAACCGACTGCGTTTTCGATGGGAACGGATTGAAGGCATCGGGGGCTCGGACGAGGTCCTTGTGGAAGAAGTGACACGCATGCTGCTGCCAACACGGAAGCCGGTTGTTGGTCGGAGCGGGCTCGCAAAGCGACGCAAGCTCGGGCAAGCAGATGCCGGCAACCCAACCATTGTGGCGCGGGTGGAACAGTCCAAGAAGACTTCCGGCAAGCTGTTCAGAAACAATGACGAGGACATGGCTCACGGTGTGGAGCTGCTTCAGAACTTCGGCGAGGACCTCGCCAAGCATCGGCAGGCACATGAGCCGAAGGTTCTGAACCGGGAAGTGCGAGAGCACCTGAGCAAGATTGTCGGTGCATCCGGCCTCCCTCCATTTGCAACGGCCGGTCGGAAGACTGCAACAATGGTTGTGAGATCAACGTTTCGGTAGCTGGGACTTGTTCATGTCATGTGCAGGGTGGGTTGTGTGCAATTTTCTCAGTGCCTGGAAGATTTTTCGATGATGTTGCCAAGGAAGCGTGTTGCTGAATGGCTTCGTTCTGAGGAGGGACAAAGCTGGACAGCGCAACGAGAAGCGTTGTGCGGGCCTCGGCGGTCTAAGAATTGAGATGTGGCTTCTGGAGTAGAGTCATAGGAAGCTTATCGACATTTGGTTTGGGCTCGGAGACATTAACATCCCAAGCCACAGCTGTGCGCAGAGAGATGAGCCTCTGAGGTGGGCAGGCTTTTGCGCAGAGGGACATGAGGCGCCGGCAGCTGATGTCAGAACTGAGATGGGCAGAGCAGATTGAAGATTTGTTGCAGACTTTTGGTGACAAGGCGGCTAGACCTGTAATCCTGTGGAATGCTACACGCTGGTCCGTCAGTTTGCCTTGCTTCAGCTTTAAAACGAACAGCTGAGAGACTGACATGTCGCAGTCTCTCCGCCTGCCCTGCAAAATCAAGTGACTCTTCGTGCTGCATTCAGCTGCAGCTTCAACAATCCTGTATGACGTCCTTGGACCTTGTTGCTGGCTGCTTGCTGTGATCTGCTCGAGTATTTACATCATGTCTTCGGGCGATTCATGAAAGAGTTCCCTGGCAATATGTAAGTGAGTGTATGTTTGTGGTGTTCATTGCGGTGTAAAGCTAATTTGTCACCATGTGTAACATGGCTTTACAGATTGACCTTGTCATACTACATGCAACCACCATTGTGGAAGCGCAGCCTGTCAAAGTCCTACGGCTTAGACTAGCTGCCGTGGCTTGCCATCCTCATCGAGGTGTGTAAACTGCTGGTGCAGGACCTCGCGTGCTGAGATCGCAATGTCGTCTGGTTTCGAATTGGATGTCTGTACTGTGGTTGGCACTGAAGAAGTAGGCTTCACCTTGGATGAACAAGAGCTGCATTCTTATGGCTGTGCCAGTGTAGGCATGGCCGGAGAACTGTGGGTGGTGCAGAGTGGTTTTTCGTTGGACGGTGTGATGCAGAGTGGTTCTTCTTTGGACGGCGATGAAGAAATTCCAGCCGCTGTCCCAGCCGCATGCGGTGTGGACACAACTTGTGATGGGTTTCAGCTCGAGGACACAACCGGGAACCCAGGTCATGTGGATCAGCCCTTTCGCCGAAGGAAGATTAAGAAGTTTCTGAACAGAGGATCTCGTGCCGCATCTTTGCCTTTGTCCCTATCGCGCACAGAAGTCGAGCAATGGTTCGCTGAGCATCTTGAACCGGGTTTCCTGGTTTATCAGCTAGATGTTTGTAAGGCCAAGCCTTGTGCCATAGACTTCTTTCAAGATTTGTAATTAATCCTGCCTCCAAGCAGACATGATACCAGCAGAGGACGCCCAGTGATTTTGGAGATCTTTTCGGGCTCTGGCCGCGTGGCTGCTGCTGTGAATGCACGAGGTTGGTGTTGTTGTGTTAGCTAGGTTCTCATTATTGCACAGCTACCCACAACAAGCACTTGTGTTTGCAGGCATTCCGGCCTATGGACTTGATATTCTCAACGGCTTTGACTTGCGCGACGATGCTATCGTGGATGCTATTATTCAGAACATCGCAGCAGGTGCTGTCAGTGCAGTGTGGGCCCCATCTAGATGCCGGGTTTACCCGTCTGTGGCTTATGTCGTTCGTAATGCTGATGTTCGTAAATATGTGCTCGTAGCTGGGGCCCAGGTCTGGCTGGCTCCGCCGTGCGAGTCATGGAGCCGGGCGCGGAGGGGCAAAAGAAGTCTGCAGAGGAAGAAGGCATTCCCTGCGGCCCTCCGTAATGCTCACTTTCTGTGGGGCCTCCCTCAGCACGATATGATGGACCGAGTTGTGTCTTTTGTTGTGAAGTCAGAGGCCATCAAGCTTTATCGATCTAGAGTGACGCTCTCTACAATTGCTGCAGGAGCACGATCGCAAGAAGCTCGACAACGGCAACAAGACCGTGCAGCAGAGCTTGGGTATCATAGATGCAGCTATCATGCATAAGATCGTAGTCGGCGTTGAACATCCGCGATCATCGTGGATGTTCCACATCAGCGATCTTCTGGGGCGTCGTGACGAAAGTTGCCCAACTGATTCTAGAGGGAAGGGTTGAAGAGTCGTTGCATCCCACTGTTTGCTCCTGGTGATCGATCACCAAGGCTGAGCCGAGTGGCTGGTGGATTTTTGTAGATTCGGTTCTGAGTCCCAGAAACCCACGAGATTCTGGGTTTGGAATTCTAATTCTAAGCAAACGGAGTGCCAGATTTGCAAGCGCAAAAAGGTAGGAAAGGTTTCCATTTGCAGCCAGACTGGCAAGCCACACAAGCAGCTGAGCGGTGTACAGGCCAACCAGTTTCTCACCAAATCTTGCGAGGCGTATCCGGAGAGACTGGCCGAGTTGATTGCCGACATCTTACTGTCTTGAATGCCCGTGCTTAAGTCAAGCGACCAATTTCGTATGATGGTGCTCAATTGTGTGTTAAGCTGGTTCAGTACAAGTCATTCAAGTCTCAGCAGAGAGCCAACGGCCATCACTGGTTCACCGGATTTGCACCCTACCCATTCGCAGAGGGCGAAAACTTGTGCTGCAGGCCATAAGCCGGAAACACCGCGCCCTGATAATGATTTCGGATTTAAGACCAGTGTTCAGGGTCTAGATCGGCTTACAAGGACTGAGTGTTCAGTATGAGGGTTCAGGGTCGAAGCTTGGGTATTCGGTGCTTCGTAGGCCTCAGGCTTTCCAAGTTTGCAGTTCCCAGCATCGGCATGTTGGGGTGTTAAGCCCCAAAATCCATAACCGAAGCTGCAGACCCAGCCCGTAGTGCCCGGTCCAACTTTCACCAACAAGTAAACGCTTCAAGACACCAATTAAATTCAGGCACCCAGAATACACTTTCAATCCAGGTTTCTCTACGCTTGGCATCCTTCATGGTGCTCGGCTTGGTCGGGCATTGGTTTTGAGGTCAAGGTAGGGGTTTAGAAAACTTCGGGGCCTTGATAGGGTTTCGTTTTAAATTTCAATGAAAACAATATTAAGATGAAAGCAAAGTAGGATGAAACCAATGTAGGGTTCTGACGGGAAAATTAATAGGAGTTCAG